AGGAGGGAGGAGGGGGAATGAGGGGTGCTCAGAGGAGGGGGCAGAGTTGGGGCAGGGACTTTGGGGAAGGAGTTGGAATGGGGGTGGGGGTGGGGCAGGGCCGGGGGTGGGGAAGGGGCGGAGTTGGGGCAGGGCCAGGACCCCTGTGGAGTGTCCTCTTTTTTCAGTGTTGAAATATGGTAACCCTTTTCAACTAAGGAGTGAGAGTTCATAATACACATGGCTGGAGACTCCTAAAAGGTCCTCTGGCAAATCCAAGGAAGCTCATACATTATCTTGTTTTGGTCTTCTTCATACATCATAATATAGCAGAAAAAGGGCACAAACCCAATTAATAAAAAAATCCTCAGCAGCTCAACTAAAATATTTTCCACAGCATGTCAGTGAGTAAAAAACAATACTAAAGTTGAAGCAATTCATTTAGCAACCATATAGCATGAAAGTGTACACCTGCAAACTACAACATCTGCTAATTACTTCAGGCTCTATTCGGAAAAAAACTATAGCAAGTCACATGTGATCTCTGCACAAAAACAAAGTGATGGATGCTCATATATTTTCCTTAGCTATTTTCAACTAGTCAACAAAATTAAGATAAATCAATACTAGGCACTTTTAAATAGATTAAAGAGTGTCCACATAAGGGGGCTGCACCAGTTCAATTAAAACAAACTAGAAAGAGATTTAGTTATACTGGTACAGTTTCTGTATAGACAAGCCCAAATATGCTATGGAATTAAGCACTTTTGCTTCAAGTTTGTCTTTTTTTCTGCAGACACCCAACATTTTGTTTTCCATCTTCCCTCCTGGTTGGGACCTGCCAGCAGCTGCCTCTTGCTTTCCAGATTTCTCCACTATGCAGTGGTAGTTGGATTACAGTGAATGTGATCAGCACTGCTCCAAGTAATCACACAGAGTTGGAATCTAGTTTACAGCCAGGCAGCAGGGGGAACCAGAAGCATAAACTAATGAGCTGGGCAGTGTGGAGAATAGTGCAGCTAGTAAGGTCCAGGGAAATGAGCTGCTAAAGGAGGCTATAAGCTGGTCCTTTCCCTTGCACAAACATGGAAGGAGGTTCCGATCTGGGTTGCTTGCAGAAGACTGTAGGAGCCAAGGACTGTGCAGAGTGCAGGGATGCAGGTGAAAAACATAGTGAAAAACTCATCCTTTAAAATAATCAACATATTATATACCAATTAGTATTTTAAATTATCAGATGCAGCTGCATGTATTGCTGTGGAGGAGAGGGAACAGAATAAATTGATTTTGCCATGTAATTCAGCAGTGGTTGCTGAGGAACTTTAGGCATTGCTGCAGCAGAATCAGGTCCCACTGAATACAGGGAGCCTTAGTTATACCTGAGGTCAGCATTCCATCTGTGCTGCAAAATGAAAGAAGCCAACTCCTGATGGCAAATCCCGTTTTAGAGCAACACTGTCAATCAAGGGCTAGTGAAGACATACCCACACAAAATTGCAAACAAACCACATCAGAGGGGGAAACAAAGGAAACTTTCAACCTATTATTCTCCCTCCAGCCAACTCAAATGAGAATTCCTCTAACAAAACACAAAACTATTGCCAACAAAACCACTTTTATCTTTTATAATATTTTTCAGCTTTGAAGCACTTTATAGTAATTAATCAATAATAAATAAATAAATAATGGAGATATCCCATCTCCTAGAACTGGAAGGGACCTTTAAAGGTCATCGAGTCCAGCCCCCTGCCTTCACTAGCAGGACCAATTACTGATTTTGCCCCAGATCCCCAAGTGGCCCCCTCAAGGATTGAACTCACAACCCTGGGTTTAGCAGGCCAATGCTCAAACCACTGAGCTATCCCTTCCCCCTCAACTATCCTACAAGACAGGTGTTATATTAATTATGCAGCTGGAACATACTCAAGTCCATCCAGCAAGTCAGAATTGGGATAGCAGTTTAAAAGTTGTTGGCTTCCTGTCTTCTTTTTCCAGCCTTGTGGTCAGTTCACTATATCACGGTGCCTCTAAAAATCTAATTATTTTTTTTCCTCAAAGAAGAAATTCTTCAATACATTTACTTTTCAGGTTCATTATAGCTGAATTCCCAATCCTGCAAACACTTATGCAGGTGAATAGCCCCACTGAACTTGAGTGGGATGACTTGTGTGTAAAATTACTCACATGCATAGTGCTTTCGGGATTGAAGACTAGTATAGTAAACAGACAACTTACAACAGAGACCTTTATCTGTCATCCATGTTTCAGAAGTAGGAATAACTGAATCAAAACTTGTTTAGCCTCATTTTGATTATAGATAGAAAAGTAAATTATTCTGTGACATTACAGGGTAAGGGCGAGGAAACAATGATAAAAGTTAATAAAAATTGTTCCCATTTTTGGAAGTGACTACATTTTGTTAAGAGACTGGAAAGACTCCAACTGACTAAAGTATTTGTGGGTTCAAAATACTTAAATAGTAATGCTGATAGAGAACTCATCAAAGGCTTTATTGTGCTATAGTATAGCAGAATAAACGTATGTAAAATAAATGTTTAAAGATCTTTTTAAATTGTCTAAACAAAAGAGAGTTATGATTTACTTTATGCTAAGTTTGATCAATATTTTATCTTACCCAACAGTGATGTAACAATAGCTCCACAACAAGAGGCAATTGCTTGCTGAGTAGTGGTTATTTTATACAATTCGTTGTTATTCTCTTCAGAACCCATAATTTTGCTCTCACAGAAAAGCAACCTATTAAGAAACAGAAATTAGATTGTTTTCAAAACTTATGGAAAAATCATTAGAAAAAAGTGTAAATATTAGTATTCTGTTTGCATACCAATATTGTCAAGTCATTATCTATTGTAAGAGTTAGAAAATGTATTTGTTCTACAGCTTGTTCTGAAAATATATTAGATCTAAGTTTACTTAAATAAAAATTAAAACAAAAAACTCTGATGCATAGTTAACTGTAGATTTTTAATACTTTTTGAACATTACAAATAAAGAGGCTCTAATCCATGTCCACATCTTCCCCAGCTAGGTGCTCAACAGCATTTGCTAGTCCAAGTGAAATGGCTGGATGTTGTCAGCACTCTGAAAGCACTGCAGGCCATATCTCTTCGCTAACCATCCTAGCAACACCACACTCATGCTGAACACGAGAAAATATATATTCTACTCCTGAAGGCATTCTGCGGCAAAAAAATTACAAATTCTGTGCCAAAAAATTAAAAATGCTGCGCACAATATTTAAAATTCTTCAAGTTTTACTTGTCAATAAATAAATGCAGAGGCTCCAGCATGGCAGTGCACAAAGGTGTGAGATCACCCTGCAACCTCCCCACCGCCCATCCCGGGTACACGAACTCAGAGGTGAGGTGGCACCCGACCCTGACACAGCATAAGCCCTGGGCCTGCCCCAGAAACATCCTGGGGCCCTGCCCTTCTGTGCTAGGCGCACCAGGTGTGGAGCAGGCAGGCTCCAAGTGTGGAGGGGCTCAGTGTGGGGGGGATCCAGGTGTGGGGTCAGAGGATTCTGTGTGGGACAATCTGGGTGCAGGCAGCTCAGTAGGGGGTCTAGGTCTGGGGTGATCTGGATGCACAAAGGCCCATTGGGGGGCGGGGTTTCCAGGTGCAATGGGACTCTGCAGGGGCTTCCAGTTGAGCGTGGTTGGGGCTCAGTGAAGCGGTCTGAGTGCTGGGGGAGTGGGGTTTGGTGGGGGTCTGGATGCAGCTAATTGGGGGTCAGTGGTGTGGGGACTCAGGGTGGTGCAGGGGTGTGGTGCTCATCAGAGTGGGGGGTTGAGTGCAAGGAGCTCAGTGAGGGGTGGTCTGGGTGCAGGGGTGGGGGTCTGGAGGCAGGCAATCTGGGTGCAGAGGGCTCCAGATGCAGGGGTTGAGGTTCAATGGGGTGGGTTTAGGGTATGGAGGGCTAGGGGGGTTCTGAGTGTGGGGGGTATCTGGGTATGGAAAGCCCAGATGCACGAGGGTTGGGCGGATGGGGGAGCTGAGGAGCGATGGGGGCAGGAAGCGTGGAGGATGCTGAGCTTCCTACAGCTGTGGGGAGGATTCTGGGGGTGGGTCTGACACAGCCCCAGCCACTCCTTGCAGGGGAAGAGGAAGTCCTATCCTCTCCTTCCTCCAGCCCAGCTGGGATTAGCAGCTGATCCTGGCTCAAGGTAGGAGCCACTGGCTGGGGTGTGCTCAACCCTGTGGTGATTTACCGCTCCACTGGCTGCTCCGAGTGCCTGAAACGATGTACCTGCGCAGCTAGGGAGGGGTGCGTGACTGCTCTTGCATCTCCCCGTTGCTTCCCTGTCAGAAAATAATTTTTCTGTAGGGAAGCAAAGAAATCTACAGGGGACATGAATTCTGCGCATGCACAGTGGCACAGAATTCCCCCAGGAGTACTGTTTCCCTGCAGAATTTTACAACATTGCCTTTGAGGAAGAGCACTTGCCCTATACCATTCTCTCGGTGTGATCTGTAAGGAAAGGGTGGAACCATTCAAGAGCAGCACATCCATCCCTACTGCAATCCAAGAGTAAGTCAATAATACCTCATGGTCAGCACTACCAAAGGCTAACAGATCTAACAATATCAGCATGGACATTTTATCCATCACCAGGAAGAGATCATCTACCAATGCAATGAGGGCTGTTTTTGCCCCTTATACAGGTCTGTACCCAGACTGAAAAGACTCAAGAAGAACTGAAGCATCTGGGCACTCAGGCTTATCTCATAAAAAACTTCTCTATAATCTTACCCAGAAATTGCAGTATTGACCAATAGTTAATGAGACTGTTGACATCAAGTTTTCATTCCTTGAACAAAGGCCAAGAGAAGCCAAAAGGCTGTCCTCATGAGCCAGGAAAGCCACAAGTCCAAAGAATAGTATGTGGGACAAGTATTATCTAAAAGTCAAGGCATGTCTTACTAAATGTACATATAATTAGTGCAGCTGTTATTTTAATGATGTTGCAAAGTTCTTGTAAATTTTAAAGGGTTCTATATAAATGTTGTGTGTTATTATTTGTCTTTACTACCTAATGACTTTAATCTCCCCGTTATAAAGGCTAATCTTAACTGGCTACATGATGCAGACAGGTATCAGAGGGGTAGCCGTGTTAGTCTGAATCTGTAAAAAGCAACAGAGGGTCCTGTGGCACCTTTGAGACTAACAGAAGTACTGGGAGCATAAGCTTTCGTGGGTAAGAACCTCACTTCTTCAGATGCAAGTCTTGCATCTGAAGATTTGAG